CCTCCCCGGGAGCCTGTTGTCTGGGGGAAGATGGTCACAGGAGCCCATCCTGCTGCTCTAATACCCTGAAGTGCTTTTAAAAGTCCAGGGCATTGTGAGAATGCAGGGGAGGCTGCCTGGCCGTCCCCAGGCCAGCGATGCTTCCTGGAGACCTCCGGGCTGAATGAGAGGGTGGCTGCTCCGAGTTGGCCAGCACTAGGGGGACTAATGAGGAAAGGCGTTACCTGCAGGGGAACAGCATGGAGCAGCGGAACACACAGTGTGGTGGGAACTGGCGGACGGCTGAAGACAAGGTGTCTTGTCACCAGAATGGCTCCGTCTTTAAAAGCCAAATAAGCCCTTTCCCCCTCTCTTACGTTCTGTTAAAAATGAACAAGTGATATACTCTAAAGCATAACCATATTTTCAAAGGGGAGGCAGGATGCTTTCCTGGCCAGCTCTACGGAGATATAATTCACATATAACATTGTGTAAGTTTAAGGCGTACAGTGTGTTGACTTGATAGACTTGTATAGAATTGATTTGGGGCATTTATATATCAAGTGTACTTGATACACTTGTAAAGAATTGATTTGGTGCATTTATATATTGCAAAATGATTATCACCATGTTAGCTGACACCTGTATCGCGTCACATAATATTTCTTTCTTGTGGTGTGACCACTGAAGATCTACTCTCTAAGTAACTTTCAAGTATATAATAGAGTATTATTAACTACAATTACTATGCTATATGTTAATTCTCCAGAACTTACTCATCTTACAGATGGAAGTTTTTACCCTCTGACTAACATCTTTCTCATCTCCTTCACCAGTCCTGGGTAACCACCATTCCGGCCTCTATATCTATGAGTTTGGCTTTTTTATATTTCATATGTAAGTGAGATCATACAGTGTCTGTCTTTCTCTGTCTGACTTATCTCACTTAGCATAATCCATGTTGTCACAGTAGGTAGTCACTTTAACATTTGTTATTAAGTAAGTGTTGTTTGAAAAGAAAATGAATTTTATACACTTGGTTTCTTTTTTATAATGGGACAAAAAAGTTCTTGCACCCTGAGTGCCCTCTTTGCAGGAACATTTTTTGGGAACCGCAGAGCCTGATGCACAGAAATGGGGAGTCCCCTGGAATGTGAGAATCTAGCTCCGTCTCTTCCTGTATGCCGTGTTCAAGGAAGCAATCTGAGCATGGAGTTACAAACTCTTACTAAATTTTTCTAGTTTCCTTATGTTTGTGATTTTTACATTTATTTTTTGAAGTTAGGTAGTAAAATAGACTTTTTGGATTTTTTGCACTGAGGTGAAGTTTGTTAACATAAAATTAACCATTTTAAAGTGAAAAATTCAGTAGCATTGAGCACATTCACGATGTAGTGCAGCCACCAGCTCTATCTAGTTCTAAAATATTTTCGGCAACCCCAAAAGGAAACCTGTGCCCATTAAGCAGCTGCCCCCCATCCCTCCATCATCTAGCCACCACCAGCCTGTGTTCTGTCTCTGTGCTCTAACTACTCTGGTTGCTTCATATAAGTGGAATTATACAATATGTGACCTCTTATGCCTGGCTTCTTTCACTTAGCACCGTCTTTTAGAGGTTCATTCACATTGTACTATGTATCAGCGTGCCCTTCCTTTTTATGGCTGAATAATATTCCATCTTATGCATATGTCACAAAATGTTTGTTCATTCATCGATTGTTGTACATCTGGGTCATTTCCACCTTTTGGCTGTTATGAATAGTGCTGCTATGGATATACATGTACATGTATTTGTTCTTTTTTGGAATAACACGTGTAAATTCATGTAACCATTACAGTTAGGGTACCATATACTTCCATCATCCCCCCCAAATTCCCTGTGCTTTTCCTTTGAAACCCACCCCTAGATCCTGGCAGCCACTGCTCTATTCTCCATCAATGTAGTTTCATTTTTTTAAGACTATCATGTAAATCGAATCATACACTGTATAACATTTTGAGACTGGCTTCTTCCACTTCGTATATTTATTTTGAGATTCATCCAAGTCACCAAATGTGTCAATTTTTTTTTCCTTTTTATTGCTGAACAGTATTCTGTTGAACGGATGTGCCACAGTTTGTTTAAAGAAAATTTACGCTATTTCCAGATTTTGTTCATTATGAATAGAGTTGGTATAGACATTTGTGTAGAGGTTTTGTGTGNACAGTTTGTTTAAAGAAAATTTATGCTATTTCCAGATTTTGTTCATTATGAATAGAGTTGGTATAGACATTTGTGTAGAGGTTTTGTGTGAACACAAATTTTCATTTCTCTAGAGTAAACGTGTGGGAGGTGGGATTGCTGGGTCATATGGTAACTGTACCTTTAACTTTATAAGAAACTGCCAACCTGTTTTCCACGATGGCTGTGCTGTTCTGCGTTCCACCGGCAGTGCACTAGGGCTCCAGTTGCTCTGCATCTGTGCCAGTTCTTGGTATTGTCAGTATTTTTTACTTTAGCTGCTCTGAATAGACGTGTTAGTGATATTTAACCCTGGTTTAATTTACATTTACCATCTAAATATCCTCTTGGATAAAAGTATCTGTTCAATTCTTTTGCTCATTTTCAGTTATTTTGTTTTATTGTTGAGCTTTGAGAGTTCTTTTTATGTTCTAAATTCAGCCCCTTTGTCCGATATGTGATTTGCAAATATTTTCTCTCAGCCTCTAGCTTGTCTTTTTATTCCTCTAACACAGTACTTTTGCAGAACAAAATAATTTGATATCAGTGAAGTCCAGTTTGTCAAATCTTTATTTTATGCTTGTGCATTTTAGTATCATGTTTAAGAATTTCTGTCTAGCATGGTCATGAAGATTTTTTTCCTGTAAAACAGATTTTACATTTAGGTCTATGGTCCATTTCCAGTTCATTTCTGCATGTGGTGTTATGTCTAAGGCTGTGCTGGTTAGTTTATTTTTTGCACATGGGTGTCCAATTATTCCAGCACCACCTGTCGCAAAGGCTATCCTTTCTCTATTGAATTGCATTTGCACCTTTGTCAAAATCAACTGGCTGCATTTGTGGGTCTGTTTCTGAACTCTGTTCTGCTCTATTGATTTGTGTACCTTTCCCTTTGCCGATAATACCACATGCGTTGATTACTTTAGTTTGGCAGTAATTAGTAATTCTTGAAGTCCAGTAATGTCATTCCTCCAACCTTCTTCAAATCTGTTTCGAGCTACTCTAGTGCCTTTTCCACATACATCTTAGAATCCGTTTGTCGATACCTGTGAAAATTCCTGCTGGGGACAGTTTATTTTTTGAAAGGTGCTTTGTTTTGGTTTTAAAGAGTTTTGGAAATCCGAGAGAAAGAGAATGAATCTACTTTTATCGCATGCAAAAATTAATAAAATCACCCGCCCTGCTGGGGATGTCACTGCGTTCCAAGTACTTCCTCTGCGTTAGTGCTCAGCACAGGTGAAACGGTTGGTGGTAGGTTATAGAGGTGGAGCCAAGTCATGTCCACACAGAGATAAACCTGGACTTGCCACGCGTGTTTAACCTGCTTTCCCCATTTGTCACGCACCACTCACAGCCAGCCTCAGAGAACAAGGAAGGCATACCAGAAACATTTAATGCGTGTTCATGAGAACAGGTCAAGCAGCCCTTAGCTTTTGTATCATTTATTGAATTGATAGCGTTTTAAGCCTTTGGGTACTTTCGAACACATTTGCAAATGTGCAGTATTGTAGGGTTTCCAGGCCAGTGTTTTGGCCTGTGAATTAAAAACTAGGCTCTCAGGAACTCAGGGAGGGAATTAGGAGGTAGGAAGTTTGGTTTTCCTTTTCTGTTTTGAGGGAAGAAAGACATCTGCCCCCTGCCATGCCCCAGAAGGGGGTAATTAGAAAGATCTTACGACCTTCTGGGTATCTTTTCCTCCGAGTCTAGAATTTCATTGCAAAGTTTCCGCGAACTTTCAATGCTGAGTCCTAATTTGTTTTATACAAATTGACACGCGTGCCAGGTGTTTAGCATGCTTTTCTCTACCCATTTTCTAACATTTAGAATAGAGTTAACATTTAACACTTACACAGTCAATGTGAGCATTATAAAAATGAGCTTAAAGTATAATCAGAGATTTAGCCAGTGAGTCCCAGAGTTGGCAGGGGTTGCCTGTGAAACTCAGGGGTGGGTTAGGGAGGCTGTTCATGCCAGTCATCTTGGACATCTTGGCTGCTCGTGATGTGTGTGCCGGGTCTGCCAGAATCATACAGTTTGTTGATCTAATTTTGGAAACTTCGAGTTGGATGAAGTCTGTTATTGCAGGTTACTCCTTAAAAGCTGCATTTTGAGGTAACTATCCCAGGTTACAGTTTATCAGCTAAATAATTATGGGAATTTCGCATTGAGATGGCACTGCCTTGGAGGGTGAGGTGCTGAATGTTGGTGGCTACTCACGTTCATTTCCATATTTATACAAAGTCGAGGTGGCTCTAGGTAATTCTCCAGTGGTCCCAAGGAAAGCATTACTTTTAAATTTTGTGTTGCCAGAAATATTTTTTTCATTCCTTATCCAAGACCTTGTGATGTTAAAATATAGCTATATGTAAATGAAAGGTAGTTATCTGATTTCTAAGTTAAGGAATAAATAGAAATATAGTTTAGTAAAATGATCACAATCCAGTGATATATTTTAAAAAATTTTATTTATTGGATTTTAAGGAGGGAGAGAGAGAGAGAGATTGATTTGTTGTTCCACTTACTTTATGCATTCATTGGGTGATTCTTATATGTGCCCTGGCCGGGGGTTGATCCTGCAACCTTGACGTATCAGGACAGTGCTCTAACCAACTGAGCTACCTGGCCACCAGCAGTGATAATTAGAGTGTTGTATTTTTCTATAGTTCTTTCACATGTAGTTTTTATCTGGCACTTCAGTGTTGTTTTGAGCTGTGGAGGCCATTGCTTTGAGGACAGCAAGGCTCAGAGGAGTTAAATGACTGACCCAAGGCCACCGAGCTGTAGTCAGTAGCAGAACCAGAAAGAGAGTTCTTTCTCCTGAGGCCAACCCGTAATGGCATTTTACTTTTAGATAAAACAAATTCCCACCCTACATATGTGAGAAAAGGGAAAGGATGTCTCCAAAGTCCTGAACTTCTGATTCTAAGGCAAAACTTGTAGACATTTTTTGATATTTTCTTTTGAAACAAAAAGAAAACAGACAAAAATGCTGAATTCTTCTGTAGCACCAGCTCCAACTTTGAAAACTTTCAAAAGATGATGGGTGTTTTCATTTCCCTTTCTCTAAATGCAGACCGTGTTATTTCCCAGCATAATTTTTCTGTTTGGACCAGTAGTTACAAACCCCTTTCATGTTGATGCTCTTAATAGAAGTCAGTGGGCATAATGCTCTGCCTAGTCTTTGTATTTGATATATCATATATTACCTGCAAAATGCTTATTTGCTTTGTACGATCTTTTCGGCTTACCTTTTGATCTGGATATAAAACAGGCAGAAGCAATGTGATTCCTGCCTGTAACGTAACACGATTCCAGGAATTAGGAGTTTCTATCTCAGAATCGATTGGGAAGTGGACAGGCTATCTGACAGTGACGCTCTGTTGGATAAGTTGTGTTGTTTGCTTCCAAATGCATGTGAGCATGTGTGTGTGTGCATGTGTGTGTGTGTGCATTTAGAAGCAGGAAGAGTAGGCTTTTTCTTTCCCAACAATCACTCTTGGAAGGTAGATCTTAGCTGCTGTAGCTGAGGTAAACTATAGAATAAATTTAGTTCAGAAAATTAAAATTTTAAGATGAATTCTTTTGAAAGTAAGCCCTAGGGGTACACAGGCACGGGGTTCCCTCTCCTTCCTCCAGTTCTCCCGTGGGCCTTGAGACGGCCACAGCGCGTGTGAAATCCGTGCCGTGCAGTCAGTTCCAGATTTGACCCAAGAGAATAAAACTTGGG